GCGTCGGGCGACGAATGTATAGGAATTGGAATTTCAGCGACGCTACGAGAGTGAGTGCAAGAGTCGAGACGGCGTTATGCACTTTAGTGTAAGTATTTAGGGTTATTTAGTGAGTTGGATCTCGTTGGCCTAAGAAATGAAACAATAAAATGGGTAATTTGACCAAAAATAAAAAAATAGAAATGAAACAAATTATTGGCCCAAAAATTTGGATTTAGAAATTGTTAATTTATTTATAAAAAATTAAAATTAAAATAATTTGATTTATTCAATATAAACAAAAATTAAAAAGATTCGGTTCTTATTCGATTTTTCGGTTCTTGGTTGACCAAGAACCGAACCGTACCCGTCGATTCTCAATTCAGATGCCCGTTCGAGTATTTAATTTGACAAGAACCGTCGGGTTCGGTCAGTTCGGGAGATTTACCCGGCCCTAATCTTATTGTTTGCCTTCTCCTCGATTTTATTGTTCATGTTTTGCGCAACTTGCTATACCTGATTATGTTGGAGATCCTGTGTGGTATCAGACTGTGGAGCAACAAACCACATCACAAGTGATATGATCAAACAACTTTCAACCTATCCAGTAGATTGAGAATATACTGTAGTGGCTTCCTTACCATGCCCCATCAAACATAGGGGTGACCTAATCACACCAAGTTTGTACCTAAGAAAATAAAAGCGTGACGAAGACAGACAGCAACCTGATAGCAAGCGGGAACAAATGAACATACAATTGACATCAAATAACCATATCACAAACAAAACGGAAAAGCTATATATAAACATTGGCCTTACAAGCATATAAGCCACTTATGTTTTGGTGGGAAGATTTTTTACGCCGTATATCTAATTAATCGTCTTCTTATCCAGTTTTAAAAGGTATTTGTCCTTGGAACAACTGTTTCATACCACTCCGCAATATTCTTTCCTTCGTTTATTTGGGTGTGCTTTTTGCCCATATCTCAGTCCATAAAATAAGCATAAGTCTCAGTTTTCACACATCTAAATGTGTTTTCAATAGAACAAGTCCCAACAAGGATATTGTTGCCTAAATTCTTCAGATCATATAAATACGTCCAAAATAATATGAAAGTCCTTTTGTATTTTATTTTTCTTCCTGTCAATTGCCTAACAATTTATCTAATCTTCTCCTAATGTCCACATCGCCACCACATCTTTTTCTTCTACTACTTGTAGCAATGATAATAGTTCACTGTAGGTTCCTTGTGAAAAAGAGTCGTCTGTGAAAAAGAGTTGTCTCAAGCAACTCCTTCACAACAAAATTCAACTAATACAATAATGACTCCTTGTTCCAATTCCATTCCAACCTCACATTTTACTCTACAATGTCCCAAGAACTCTTTATCACCCAAAATTATAATGCATTGCCTAACAAAAAATTTCCTCATCACATCTCAAACATCTTCCGCACCTCTTGAATTCTAATCAAACCATGCACTAAGGAGTTAAATTAGGACTGCAGAAAACCAAAGTTGAAATATATGCATGCATCACATATGGTGCCAAATGCAACGTGAAGCAAAAGGATTCAAATGTTTCGGCCAACAAATATTAAAGTTTTTAATATTGAAAAATCCAGTTATAAATACATAAAATTTATTTTCTGGGTAAATAAATTAGCGAAAACGTTCTCTCAATTAAATTAGTGAAAATGTTCTCTCAAATCCATAATATATATATAAGGGTTACTTTACTAGGCTTAAACTAAAAGGAGATTTGACAATTCTTATGTCACAGAGAATTTGGCCAAAACTACTTTATGTAGCAATACTTTGAAGGGATAAAATTGAATCAATCATCACAAAAATTTCCCGAGTACAGCCTGCTATAAAACAACAAAACGTGAAAAATTATGTGCTGCTTATGAAGTGTTACAGATGATGCAAGCCTCTAATTCGGTATTCCAATAGGGTCACCAACCTACAAAAATTGGTGCAGCGCAAGCTCCTCAAGACCAGTGGATCAGCCATAAGTTTACTCTTCTGAATCCGAACCATCAACCATCTTCTCTAGTGAATCCATATCCCCAGCTTCTGAAACAGTGTGTAGCCTCAGCTTTTCAGCATCTTCACTAAAAAAATTAAAACAACGGAGAAACATCATCAATAAAAATTGTAAATCAAGCAAAACGATAGCTGAGAAGATTGAAGAGGATGAAGGCACTCACTCTGCTACTCCAAAAATTTCTTTGACAGTTAAAGAGCTATCCCTTGAACAGAACTCGGGCAGCTGGTACACGGTAAAGTAGAATGTTATACCAACAGAACAAGATAATGAAAAATCTTAAAGCAACCTGTAATAAATAGTTAAAGATGGCCGGGCTAAACACCAATGGCATTTTGGTAAAGTGGTTCAGACGATCCTCGATAGTAACAAGAAAGAAAAAGTTAAAAATTGTCCATTATACAGTGCACTAGCGTCTAACATTGCTAATTGAACATTCAGAGTGACAAACTTTGATGAATACTTTCTCTCGTGTGTTGCCTTTAATTTATAGAATGGTACAAAGCTATATAAGGAAACTATACGATGGGAATTGATCCCCGATTTTGTGTGATAATTAGTCATAAGTGTATTTATTACACTTATCCCAATCGTTAAGCTAGAACAATTATTATTATTTAAATGAATTGAGGCTTAATTTTATATATATTGCGTTTGTAAGGTGCATCTCAATGAAAATGCATGAAGAATGAAAATGAGGGACCAAAATGGAACAAAAGGGAACTTTTCAAAACAGTGTGCGCGCGCACGACACCCTTAGTCCGATTTACCGAAAGCAAAACCACAAGCCGGCACGCGCAGGGGCAGAATTTTGGGCCCTTTTTAACTTAAATTCCTATGAAAACTAAATTCAACCTAATATTTAAGTGAGAGAAGGGGAGAACGAGGACACATTACTATACATATTTTTCACAAGGAGGCTAGCACAGGATTCAAAGGCGATTAACACAAGAAATTAAAGATTCAACGTTCGGATTGAAGATTAATGAAGAAGAAATTGATCTTTCGCTTTCTAATCATTGTTTTCAATTCTGGGTGATATTTTTCCAAATCTTTTTGTATGATTTATTAAATAACATGTTAGGCTAATTCTTTTCGTGTATTAGATGAAGATGAAACATTTTATTATTTTATTTTATTTCAAGACAAGTAGCTTTGTTAAATTCTTGCTATTCTTGATTAATCTTGCACGCCTAATTTTATTATTTGATTGCTTGATCACCAATTGAATATATGGTTGCTGATTGTAGTGCTGGAAGACTCACAATAGATCTAGAACACTGCTTGATTAACAAATGTGCAATAAATATTAGAAATAATATTTATCACGCGTGCAATCTTTAAGATAACTGTAAAATTGAATGTGTTCTATTCATTTAAATTTGAACTACAAATAGATTCGGATCGTGATTAGAATAGATTTAATTTGTTTTGAAAAAGAAAATTAATTACAATAGAATTATCGATTGTCAAGAAGGTATGAACGAAGCTAGCTACGTAATTAAGAATTGAAGTAGATAATAATAGATGCATTTGTAATCCAATACACTCATCCATACATATACAAAACTCGAATTTTACGAGTTTTAGTAAATTAATTTAGAATAATCACACCACAAATCTCTTTTGTTTGCTCACCTTCAATCTGATTAAAGACTAGTATACTCAATTAAATTTTATTCCTGTGCGATTATACACGTAACTCATCATGTATTACTTGCCAACAATCTCATACATTTGCAGGATTTCACCCAACAATCAACTAGCTTAAACAAGATAATAAACTAATTAACCTAAATTAGTTGAAAATAGACTCTAATACCCCCTTCAATTTGATGATGGTGTGTCCACAAACATCAATTTACTCATGAGAAAATTATCACGAAGTTAAGTCAGAGATTTGGTGAAGATATCTGCAATCTAATGGGCAGTGGAAACATGGGGAAGATTGATGACCTTATAATTTTAGATGTCTCAAATGTAATGACACTCCACTTCAATATGTTTTGTGCATTCATGGTACACAGGGCTAGTCACAATCTGATTAGCACTAGTGTTATCACCATGGAAATATGTAAACTGTGATTAGGAAACACCAAGTTTTACAAGAATACAACGCACCACACAACCCTAGAACATGCAACAGACAACGCATCATTCTTCCCCAATTAAAGACTTAGAAACACAATCTTGTTTCTTACATTTCTAAGAAATAAAAGCGTCAGCCAGAAAGATACGCCATCCAGTAGTGGATCGACGAAAATCAAGGCAACCAGCCCAGTCGGCATCACTATAAACGGTGAGCACAAGAGGCATCCCTCGAGGGAAGAACAGACCATGATAAAGAGTCCCAATAAGATAACAAATAATGCAACGGACAAACACCAAGTGAAGATGATGCGGGGCGTCTACAAATTTGCTCAGAGTATGAACTGTGAAGGAAATATCCAGACGTGTGATAATGAGATAGAAAAGACTACCTACCAACCTTCTATATAGAGTAGGGTATGGAACAATATTGCCTTCGTCTTTTCGATATTTAACATTAAGCTCTAACAGAGTATCAGCTGAGGTGGCTTCAGATAACTCGGCCAACCTAATCAAGTCCTGAGTACACTAATGTTGATTCAAGAAGATACCATGTTGTGATGTACCATTCTATAAATTAAAGGTAATACACAAGAAAAAGTATTCAGCAAAATTTGTCATCGTATCAGAGCTTTAACCTATCTTTCTCGTGCGTGTGGGCTATGGTTTTTTCTTAGGCAACACTCAATTTTTTTTAGTTCATCATAGTCAGCATCACTGTGGTCTCATCTTACGGTTTCGACGGTCAATTGATTCTTCATAGTCGGCATCACTTGGTTCTCTCATAGCCGACGGGTTCTTCGCAGTCAACTTCTTTGTTTTTGCAACCTCTACGTGTTCTTTGAGTCTTGTGTCCTTCGAATCGACGTGTTGAAGAACTTTCCAGCAAGCTAGTTGTAGGTCTTGGTCGGAACAAGTTTTGTTGCAATCATCTGCCATCGTTCAACTCGTCTCCTCCGTAAGCCATTCCTATCTTCTTCTAGGTGTGTGTGGGGCTTTTATTTCCTCTATCTATTTTTTTAATTGGTTTTAGGATGATTCTTGTTAGGTTAAGTTAACCATTGTTGGGCTGTCATTTCTTGAAGTTCAGCTAGGTTATCTGATTTTGGACTCTCCTATCATGATGGGCTTTGTTTTTGAAGCCATTATTTCTAATTTTCTTGGCCTTGAGTTTATAAGCATAACTAATATGGTATGGTTTGTACACTATTTAATCATGTCAATTGAGAAAACTTATTCTGTTTGCATTCACTTTACTCGGAAGAATTACTCTTCGTAGATATTTCACTTTCAATTGCTTGTTAAAGGTAAAAAGGGATCTGTGGGGACATTGATGGAAGCCTTCCGCCTCCTGATCAAAAGGACAAAGAGAAATATCTTGCTTGAAAAACTAAGAAAACGGTACAATGGAAATTAATCCCCGATTTTGTTTGATAATTAGCTTAGCCTATATAAGGTAATAAACTAATCCACCTAAATTAGCCAAAAATAGACTCTAATACGGAGAAAGGTCACTTCAGACCAGTACTAATTCTATGAGACATTATTATCAAATCTGAGTCATTAGTACAGCCAGTCATCCAGCTATTAGGCTAGAATCATTATCCATTAACGACCCCTCTTTCAGAAACTTTCCATAACCAACCCTCATATGAAACTTAACTTGGCTATCAAAGAGTAACTAAACCCACCTTAAGTTTATTTACAGCATCTTGTCTACATTGAAAGAAGATAGTGTTTTTACCTGTGGCAAGTAAGTCTCAGTCATCTACATAATGGAAAAGAAACTCAGAAAATACCCAAACCTTGACAAAAATCAAAAAGTTGGGTACCTGATATTTCAGGCTTCTAGTAAGATATAATATTCAATTTTTTAAAACAATATTGGGTTTGAAAGTAGGGATGTTAATGGACTGAGCAAGCTGAGCTGGCTCATCTCGGCCCGCCGGACGAGCTAGCTTGTTCTTGCTTTGGGGAGAACCAGCTCCTTTGAAAAAAGAAAAAACAGCTCTGCTTGCCGCACAGCCGCACCAGCTTGGTTGTGAGAGGCTTGCCCCATGACTCGCCTCCAAGGCAAGCCAAGCTGAGTTGGCTTGCGTTCCAACGAGTGGCTCACCCTATTCAGAAATCTAAATGTCAAACTAACCAGTGTTTTATTCTCAAGTAGGAAATAATAATTCCAGAAACTGGATAACCTAGCAATTTCCTTTAATGCATATATTTACAAATGAAACTGGAGACGACAAATAAATACAAGAGTGTGACGGATGCACATAAGGTTACAGCACCAAGCCTAACGGAGCCTGCTTTGGCATTAAAAAAACCAGCTAAGCATGTTTTTGTTTCAATCCTAGATCGACCGATGAAGCTTGAATATATGACAGATATAGAGCATGTTTGGGAACTGTTTTATAAATTGTTTACATTATAAATAGATAAAAATGGGTAGTGGATAAGTAAGTAATACTTGTTGATCCCTCTAAATGTCCAGATAAAAAGTGGCTTGAATGTTTATAAATAGTTAATAAACATGAGCCAAACATATGCATATTTTGTCAGTTCATCCATTATACAAGATGAATCAGATTCTACAGATATACAAATGAAGCCTTTTAAAGGTCATTATGATGAGGACATCCAGTTCATTTATTTATTTATAGTCGAACCTTATTTCATTTTGTTAAGACTTTATTTTGTTGTGGATTTTTATTGGGCTTGTATTGGCCCAAGCCATTCTAGTTGAGGTTTGGTTTACTATTTAAATTTACTTTTCCATGTAATTTTATTAGTTGATGAATGAATAATTATTTTGGTGGCTTGTGGCGCATCCCTATCCTTCTTATGTCTTCTTCTATTGAATTCTTCTTCTTTCCCCACCTTAATTCCCTATTCTTTCTGAATCTATCTTCATTTTCTATTAATCATTCTATTGGTACTGCATCAAATTTGGTATCAGAGACCAACATTTGATAATTTCTTTTTTTTAATCCAAAATTTCATCATATTTCCTTCTCAAAATCTGTTGAAACAGCACAAACTAAAAGAATTTTTAGTAAAAGCAGCAGTTTTTTTCTTCTTCAATTTTTAGTCTTAGTTGAAAAAAAAATAGAATTACTGTTCATCGCGGGTACTGTTCACCCAGAATTTCAGTTTAGTATTTTAATCAGTTTCTTAAAAAAATAAAAAAATAATTACTGTTCACGGGTACTGTTCACGCAAAAAAAAAAAATTCTGCTGCTGCTCATAAATAAATAAATTGTGGCATTGTTCCACAAATCTCAAACCCTAGCATTCAAGCCCACTTAGCCCTTCAGCCTATATATTCCATCTCTATAACCTAGTGCATTCATTTTATTTTTTTTTATCAAAACACTTCGGTCATAAGCTAGTGACTCAAATTACTCCCAAAGCCTATTAACACACAGCCCATCTCTCATCATCTATTTAGCCAATCCACTCGCTTTTCAGCCCAATAAACACCAAATCCAACCCACTTATCACATATTATCACAACCGGCCCAACATCATCCAACCCATAACGGGTCCCAAATTAGCTCGGCCCATAACCCTAGTCCATTATATACAACACTTAACCCAGCCCACATCTACAATACCCAATCAACCCAAGTCCTAAACTCCTCATTCCCCGTCGGTATCCCACATTCACCACATTTTCCGCGACCACCCACACTGACAATCGCCAGCAACCCACTGCCACGCCAGTTGTCACCCACCACCCGGAGTTCAGTTTTCGATTTATTTTTCACATCGATGGACTTCTTCTGAGTTCAAAGTGCCAGGGACATTTGTTGAATTGGATTTGGACCATTATTTGCATTGGGCAGCTTGTTAAAACTCTTGAGGATTAGTGTTTCATTCAGCGACTCGACCGCTTAGGAGTATTCCATTATAATTTTCTACTGGAGACATGCCAACTGGGAAATCATAATTGGGCACAGTTCTGATTCTTTGGGTCCTGAAGTACATCGCCATCAGGTTTAAGCTTCCGTAGGCACCACTGCTGCAACTAAACAACAGGAGGAATTGATTTATATTTGTCATTAGTTTACAATACTGCTTCATTTAAAACTGCATTGATTAAATTTTTGTGATGTTATTCTAACAATATCCCTAAAATCACGTGACTGAATCCATTGATTTCGTCAAAACCCTATTTCACCCCACTTATATTACGTGATTAGGTTTTGACTATTATTTGATCCGTGCTTTGTTATTTTACATAGATCAGCAGTATTAGCTTGTCATATTTGAATTTATTTAATCCTGAAAAAATGTTTAGTTTATTATTTTTCATTTCTTACATTTATTATTCATTGATCTCATCATTGCACGTCATTTAGCTGGTATTACATTGCATGTAGTTGCGTAGTGGTCGTCTTATCGTCTCTATTTTCAATACATTGACCAAGGATCCATCCCCATTTGATGCACTCACTAGACAATTAGTGCAACTTGCCACTAGCCTATCGACTGTCCAATAAGATATAATTGCTACTCGTGAGGAGAGAAATAACCTAGCTGCTAAGTTGAGCAATATTAAGCAAACCCCTCGTTTGACTGACACTAACTCTGAAGCGTCTCATAATAGACAATATCATCGTGGACAAAGTGATCAAAAATATTTTCGACGCGATCGTAGGAATAGGGATCAGGTTCATGCGTGAGAACAAGGTCATGGTCATCATGGTACTCATTTTCTTCCTCGTCGTAAGGAGCGTTTCTTTAGAGACATTGACTTAAATACTCCTACTTTCGATGGTTGCTTAGATCATGAATTTTTTACCCAAATAGAACACCCTTACACAAGGTAATTGGCTAGTAACTTAGTACATTGCTCAATTTGAGAAAGTTCGAGTGAAATGTCATGTCGTTGAGGATGAGGCCCTGACTTTAAGTAGGTTTATACAAGGTCTAAAAGATGAACTTAGGCGTGAACTTTTCTTTCGAGGCATCACTACTCTTGATCAAGCTTACTCTTCAGCTCGAGACTACTTATTAGTACTCCATATGAAAAGCGCGACCACCATCGTTCTCCCATGTCATTAGCGCCACCTCAACATGAGTCTATCATAGAGCTTTCCCTGTCTAGTGTTCCTCCCATTTGGAAAAATAAGTGTAAAGGTCGTGATAATCCAAGGCCCCCTTCTCCTTATAGAAGGCGTATTGACAACCATTATTCCGTCTTATTGGCTCCACCTCCTCCTGTTAAGTCTCTTCTAGGACCTCCCCATCTAATGTTCCTCAAATCTTGGAAAATAAGGATAAAGTTTTTGAAACTCCAGGGACTTCTTCTCACCTGTTATGCTTCAGCTGTAAGGACTTTGGCCACCTCTCTTCCAAATGTCCTAACCGAGCCTTAGTCATAGAAGAATGAAAGGATGTAATAGAAATGTCGTTAAAAGATCAAATCTATGAACCTAAATTTGAAGAATATGATGACTTGAATGATATTGAGGACACTTCCTTATGTAGTATCAGGACTTTTCCTATGAATCTAGGGGTTGTACCCCTTGTTCCCAATACCCCTCGGTTAAATGTTGTGTGTCATACTCTTTTCCAACCCAAAGGTACGGATGATTTGTGTAATCATGTCATTTTCAAGGAAAATCTTGAGAATTGGGATTTGATCCTCCCAACAATTCAAATTGCATATAACAATTTTGTGCATCGGTTTATCGGTACAAGTTCCATCGAAGTTATTCATGGTTATAAGTCTAGGAAACCTTTAGACCTTATTCCAATGTCCCCTATACTAGTATGTCTGCATCAGCTGAGGCAGTTGTACGTCATCTTCATGACTTACATATTGAGATCTATAAATAATTTGAAGCAAGTAATGCAGTATATAAACTTCAAGCCGATTTGCATAAGAGAAATTTTGAATTTAATATTGAGGATTTTGTTATATTACAAGCCTGTAGTGCTGGTCCTTGTGAAATTTTAAAGCATGTTGGTTCAAATACACATGTCATTGATCTTTTATTACATTTTGACCACCATTCTATTTTAACTGTTAATGACTTTTTTGCTAACCAAGGCTATTTTAATCCCTCTAGTGATCATTTTCTACCTCTACATGGGATCCCTACACTGAACCTTTTGCTATGTCTGCTCCAATACCACCTATCATAGCACACAAAGATAAAATTGATGTTGTTTTAGATGATCAGATTGTGTTGACCAATGATAAAGACGTTTAGTCCTTTCGTGTTCATTGTGTGGATCGACTTGATTCTGATGGTACATGGGCCCCTAGAAAGAGACTTCAACAGCTAATCCAGATTCGTTGGAACTTTATAGGAGTCCGCCAGATCTTCCTTTGCCCAATTTATCTTAGTCAAATCATATCCTGGGGAATAAGTCGCAGTTTTCATTACTATCAATCATGGAATTTCGATACTTGGTTTGTCATAAAGATCGCCCCCCATGGCATACCTTAAAGCATTTTGGGTATCAAATTGACTGCAGCCTCATGTGATCTATCAACTCGACAGAGTCAAGTTTTTCTCCCATCCCAGGAGAATTGATAAGGGCATCCAGTTTATTTATTTATTTCTAGTCGAACCTTATTTCATTTTGGTAGACTTCATTTAGTTGTGGATTTTTATTGGGCTTGTATTGGCCCAAGCCCATTCTAGTTAGGGTTTGGTTTACTATTTAAACTTACTTTTTCATGTAATTTCATTAGTTGATAAATGAATAATTATTTTGGTGGCTTGTGGCGCATCCCTCTCCTTCTTCTGTCTTCTTCTGTTGAATTCTTCTTCCCAAACCCCCCCCCCCCCAATTCCCTATTCTTTCTGAATCTGTCTTCTTTTTCTATTAATCATCATATTGGTGCTGCATCAAATTAGATTGATAGCTTCAATAAAGATTACATTAGATTTTCTGGGGTCCCACGCATGTATCAATAAATCAGGACTTCAACTAGTCTTATTTCCAGTGGCAGCACAAGACAAGTACTATAGTTGTCAAGAAAATACTAGAACTTACTGAGACTTCATAATTCAGAGCTTAAGGAAAGGAAATAATTATCCAAAACACTGAAGAATTAATTCAATCTAAAGTAATTAAGACACCGAAGTAGTAGAGATAATGCCATGACAGAGAAAATGCAGTGGCTCACCTCAGACATATAATAAACCTTTCCAAAAAGAGCCTGCACTGCAAGTTTTCTTTTGAAACCCTTTTCAGAATATCCTGTCATATCCATGACCACAGGACCTGAAATGCATGCACATTCTCCATCAGAATATAAAAATGTAGCATCAACTTGCAGGTGTTCATTCTCCCAATTAGAAAAACACGCAGGTTTTATAAATCCACTCTTAAATATAAAGTCCCTGTCAAGTGCTCAACCATAGAAGAAACCACCCTCCACCACATCCTCCAGGCTGCAAAAGAAGGTGCTTAACAGCTTCAAAATATGAACGGAAGGCACCGCCTGCAGCTATTGACAAGACATTCAAAGTGTAATTATCCTAGACAGTTGCCCTAGACTATTCAGGCATTCCCACTAATTTGAGTCAAAGTTCACCGGCATTTAGTTAATTGTAGAATATGATGTACAAATGAGTCTTAACGCAGTTCAGCAAGTGACCCTTGAAACAAAAAGTAAATACATTGATGCTGTTGTTACCTTTGTCTTTCACGATCCTTCTTGAAATTTCATTCAGAATTTTAGCGACTTGAGAATCGTCCAACATTGATGCTTTCCTAAGCTGGATCAAATTTGCTACACAATCTGGATTAAATGGCTTCTCATTCAACACATATCTTATATACTTGCGTAAAATCTCCTCCATGTCAAAACCAGTCTGGAAAGTGTAACAATGTTGTCAAGTCAAGCAGCTTCTGGTGTCAGATAACTAAAAGATCAGGAGTAGCAGAAGCATGATCCATGCTTTGGACATATCAATGCCCATGGTGTTTCAGCATGTTAATTATTAAACGAACCAAATACTAATAATATGATGTAGAAGACAAGAAACACGGGGTATAGTTCAAGGTTAAGATAGAGGTCATCCACCTAAGCAGTACTGTGATTTCTCAAAATGTTAAGAACGAGGTCATCAACCTAAACCGACCATTCTTCCCAACACCATCCAAACAAGAAAAATCATAACCATTGAACATGCAGCAGCTAGGAATAATTTAAAATTCTAAATTGTTAATCTTTCATCTTTATCCATAATTTTTTAGAATGTCATCTTGCTCTAAATCAACCAAGCACTTCCAGATAACAGTTCCTCTCAAAATAAATATATTTCCTTAAAGTAATGGACAAATTTTTGGATGTTGAATACAACTCTGTTACTGTATTGTTGCACATGATTTTGGGGCCAGATACTTGTCATGCTTATAGTAGTATTAAATAGAGATATAAATATACAAGGAGCTGCCAGTCCCAAGATGACCAACTCAAAAGGCTTTGTGCAAGTAAAAAGTACAATAGTGACATTTTTTATTTTATTTCTTTGACTAGGCAAATAGTAACATTGAATTGAACATCAAGAACAAAAACCATTAATAAATAGTCAGCGTGATTGGTTTACGAGAGTATACCGGTTATTGTCAGCATCTCACCTTCTGCATGAGTCCGTTCAATGCCGATTGATCTAATTCATCTCTTCCTTTCTCGAACATCTCATCTATGGTTTTGCATAGAAATGCATTTGTATTGACCTGAAAAGTTACCTCCATCACACAGTCAATTATGACATCAAATAATATCAGGGAGTTTCCAAGTGATTTATAATTCATTCTGAGACTTTATTAAACAAATGCCAAAGAAACTTCCTAGAACATACTTTGGCAAGGAGTTGAATATAAATGTAGAACATTCCCTACAGAAAAATGGAAGAACTTGTTCCCTTGTTGAGGATATGGACTACTAGAGTTCCTAGAGGTTATGGGAATATTCTTCAAAAATTACAAATACTGATTTTAGTTTCCCTTATCTGATATATATAGGTATTGAATCAGACCAGAAACTATATAACTGGGTTGAGCACTTTCAAGGTAAGTACACATTTCCTATTTAGTACACAAGAACACGAACAAGTAAAACCAACAAAGTCTTATCCCAAAGATTGGAAATGATTATATGGATCCTCTCCTTCCACTTTGCACTATCAAGTGTCATCTCCAAGATTAAACCATAAAGGCTCAAATCTTTTCTAATTACCTCACACCATCAACCTCTTCATCCAGGGTTCATCCTTCATATAATTTTCATCCCTTTTTCCCGCCAGTCCATTAAAAACCTTCATTAAATAGTCTAAACCATCTTAATGTTTCCTCACAATTTATCTTGAAGGGGGTAACTTAGACAATTCATAAATGTGCCTATTTCTTTCCCTTTTACTGCAAATCAATCTTAACATTACCGTCTAAATGTGCCTATCATTTCAGCAGGAGAATATGTATATCATATAACATCTCTAGTCTCGAGGAAGTCCTATAAGGCGTTTATAGAAAACCTAATTTTTACCTTCAATTGTAGTGTCAGTTTTTGATGATAATTCTCTTGCAAAAATTGATTTTGATAGGAAGAGCACGTTTTTCTAAATATACTTAATTAAATTAAAAGAGTTAAAAGCATCCAACAAATTCCTTTAGATACAATTCTATGAAGTTAAGATTAGAGAAACAATATCACATGGGGAGAAGAATAGGCAGACAGACCAATTTGCGACGCTTCTCCCTGGGAGAATTAAATTTGCGAACTGTCTTAACAACTGCAATGGCAAAAGTGATGCTAAGATAAGCTAACGGAACGGCAATAATCCATGGCAGGGAGCTTTGGCCCACACGCGGGCCGGGAATGGCCTGCGTGACTGATCCCGTGAACTCTACCAAATCCAAAGCCTTCTCTTGTATCCAGGGCAATTCCTCCTCTACTTCCTCTTCCTCTTCCTCTTCCTCAACTTTTTGCTCCTTTTTGGCTTCTCTACCGTTATTACTGCTTGACGCTGCTTTGGCTGTAATTGCCAAGCCGGGCGACGGAGATATTGATAAAAATGAAAGGGAGGAGGAGAAGGGAGCACTGATGCTCTTGTGTTTGGTTCTGGGAATCAGGAACAAGGACGTGGGAGTGATATTGCTACAAGTATAGAAAGAACAGTAACTGTTAAGGCTACAGGCAGAAGTGGCCATGTTACGCAGTGGTGCGGCGGCCTTGGAAGCGGCAGCGGTGGTTCAATTGGCGGAAAACCCAACACCTCCGAGTAGGGCAGTGAGCTGGATGGGCAGGGCGGTACTTTTAATATTTGGCAGGTCTAACAATCAATTTTCCAATTTAACCAAAAAAATTTGACATTCACCACAAAACTTCCACTTTAACCAAAAAAATTTGACATTCAATACAAAGGCCTACTATTGTGTAAAAGACGAAAATACCCTTAAATGACTTATTTAATTACAAAAATAGAAATTTGTTAAAAAGACCAAAATATCCTTAAATTACAAATTAAAATCCAAACACCTCTCAATTGAGATTTGAAAACGAAGTCACTCTTTTTCATCAGTTTACTCTAACACGATAAAAACTCTTTCATTTTTCATCCACTTCAACCTCAAAATTTCATTAACTTATCAGTTATCAACCTCAACAAAAATATTTCGTTAAATTTCAGCACTTTAATTAGGTAAGTATCTTTTCCTAATATTTAATTTTATTTTTATTGAAGTCGTATATTTTTTTAAATAGTAGAGAAAATAATATTAGAATTGAAGTGAAGGTCGGCACCAATCGTCGGAACGAACTATGGTCCGTTACGGACCATACGGACCATTAAAATGGACTGTAACGGACCATGTTCTGGTCCGCTGCGGACCATGTGGTCCGGAACGGACCATATTGTGGTTCGTTCCGGACCCGAATTTTTCTTCTTCTTTTTTTTTTTAATTTTCTGAATCAATTTTAATTTTTATGTTAAAAAATGTAATTAAATATGAAATAAATAATATATAGTTAAGATAATGAACGAAATTTAGAGATAGATTAAATAGAGATTTTTTTTTTGACTTAATATGTTTAGTAATTAAATATACTAAATAAATAATAAATATATGTTTAATAATAAATATATGTTTAGTGAATTAATTATGGAAACAATTAATATAATTAATTAAAGAAATACTTAAATGAAAATATTAATATATTTTAATTCAAATAAATAATCAAAATAGAGTAATTAAACATGATATCAATAATATACATAATTAACGAAATATTTAAAGAATAAATGAAATTGAATAATAATTTTCTTACTTAACCAATTAAGATAATTAATTAAAGAAATAGTAAAATGAAAAATCGAATAAAATATTATTATTATTATTCAAATAAATAATCGAAATAGAATAATTAAATATGAAATGAATAATATACATAATTAACGAAATATTTAAAAAATAAATTAAATTCAATAATAATTTTTTTACTTAACCAATTAAGATAATTAATTAAAGAAATGATTAAATTACAAATCGAATTAAATATTATTATTTTTATTCAAATAAATAATCGAAATAGAATAATTAAATATGAAATGAATAATATACGTAATGGACGAAATATTTAAAGAATAAATTAAATTGAATAATTTTTTTTTTACTTATCGAATTAAGATAATTAATTAAAGAAATAGTGAAATGAAAAATCGAATTAAATATTATTATTTTTATTCAAATAAATAATCGAAATAGAATAATTAAATATGAAATGAATAATATACGTAATTAACGAAATATTTAAAGAATAAATTAAATTGAATGATAATTTTCTTACTTGACGAATTAAGATAATTAATTAAAGAAATAGTGAAATAAAAAATCGAATTAAATATTAATTCAAATTATTCAAATAAATAATCGAATTAAATTTTCTTACTGATTCTTTTTTTGTTACTAATTGTGTTGTATAGTGTAAAAAACTATGGAACACTTCCAAAACAACGAGTTTGAGTATATTTTTGATGATTACTATGATGTCATTGATAATTGTTTAATTCGTAATGCAGGTATGGCAAAAGCATGTGTCCCAATCTGTTATTTCGGCGAATTTCAAAGGAAACAAAATGGTCAATGGGAATGAAAATGGACGAGTGAAGGAGAAGGGGTTGCTGCTATTTCGATAACAAAAAATACATTGTTTACGGAAATGTACAATGAAATAGAAAACATGCTTAACGTCAATTCCTCTCAGTACAATATGGAATTGGGATTTTTATTTCAAAAGAATTCAACAATTTCGATTCCACCTTTAAAGGTTACTTCTGAAGTGTAAATAAAGCATGTAATTCAATTGAACCAAGGTCGAAAGACAACTCCTATTTGCATAACTTTGTTGAAGAAAAATGTCCCCGAAGGTAAACACGAAGTTTTCGATGGAGAGGATCGTAACGAGAATGATTTTTGGGATACTGTTGAGATTACTCGTGATGATGATGTGGTTATTCCTGAGACAGTTGCTACTCACCATGATGTCACCGTTACACAAAGGATTTACTAGGATGAAAGGTCATTTACAAATCAGGATTTGATTGCTTTATCTAGACAGAGACATGAGTCTGGTGGGAGTTCACATGCTGGGCCGAGTACACGGTCTTCTAATTGTTCGCGTATAGTTCCTGATGATGAAGATTTACATGTCGATCAATTGTTTGACACGAAAAGAGATTTGCAAGAAGTTGTGCATCGAATTGTAATGAAACATAATTTTGAGTTTAAGGTAAAAAAATCAAACAAGTCTACATACATAATTATTAGTGTGGACAACAATTGCAGTTGGCGTTTGAGAGCGACAAAAATGGACACAAATGAGTTCTTTGTAGTTCGCAAGTATGCGCGAGAACATACTTGTGAAGTGGGTATTCGTCAAAATGATCACAGGCAAGCTCGATCATGGTTTATTGGTCGACAGATAATGCACAAGTTTCAGGACCCACGAACGATTTACAGACCTACAGATATCATCAATGACATCCATCGAGAGTATGGGGTAGTTATGAGTTACCAGAAGGCCTGGAAGGCAAAAGAATGTGCATTGGAAGATTTAATGGGTTCGACGGAGAAGAGTTGTGCCAAATTGGCCAGGTATTGCCACAACATGGTGAGAACTAATTCCGACTCGGCGTTTTTTATTGAAACCGATGGGCAGAATCGCTTCAAGTATTTTTTTATGACTTTTGGACAATGCATTAGAGGTTTTCGAAATGCGATGCGACCTCTAATTCTAGTTGATGGTACAGCCCTAAAAGCTAGATATGAAGGGAAGTTGATTATTGCTACATGTCAAGATGCCAACATCCAAATTTACCCTCTTGCATTTGGCATTGTTGATGGAGAGACTGATCTAGCAATGCGTTGGTTCTTCATGAAGCTGAGAGACGTAATTGGGGATATCGAGAACGTTGCATTTGTGACTGACCAGGGGCAGTCAATAATAAATGGTATAGCCGAAGTTTTTCTGGAAACACATCATGGTTATTGCATGTACCACATTCAGGGTAACCTGAAGACTAGGTACCGGGGCAGTGGCATCGTTGCATTGTTTAGGAGAGCTGCAGAAGCTTACAGTTTTGAAGAGTTTACGAGGTTCATGGGCGAAATAGAACATAAATCTGAAAGTGCATGGGAATATCTATCAAATATGGGGGTAGAACATTGGGCACGGTCACATTTTTCAGGACGTCAATACAACATGATGACGTCGAATAATGCGGAGTCGTTCAATGCATTATTCAAGAAGGATCGAGAGTTACCAATTCTCGCAATGATTGAACATATTCGTAACAAGTTGCAACAGTGGTTTTATGACTGACGTGAGGAATCCCAGAATTACACAAGTGTGCTAGCTCCGGCATAGGAAGATCGACTATTCAAAACTCTGGAAGAGCAAAAGCTCTATTTGTGGAACCACTAGATCAACTTCGCTTCTCCGTGAGATATGGGCGTAATGTTGGATACATTGTAGACTTGAATGACAATACTTGCACGTGTAGACAATTTCAGTTGGAGAGTTTTCCATGTGCGCATGCTGTCGTAGTGGCTATGTATAGAGGATTTCCATCACACAGCTTATGCAGTCATTATTACATGGCTGATTTTTGGAGAGCAACGTATGCCGAAACTATATTTCCTCTACCAAATGAAGCCGAGTGGGAAGTTCCTGATTATATTGTAGCACTTAATAATTTGTTGCCACTTGAAGTTCGAACGCGTACTCCTGATCGTAGACGGACGTCTAGAATATCATTTACAGGAGAGTTTCCACAACCGCGTAAGTGCGGAAGGTGCGGCGCTACAGGGCAAACACGTTGATTTTGTACAAGTCAGATCCCACTAAACAATGACTCGACGGATTTGTAGTATCTATATAAATCATTTGTATTCTCTATTTGTAATATGTTTTTTCTATTCTCAATTTAAATCGGATGTAATTTTAATTACATTGTTTAATTACTCTTTCTAGCAGTATATTGGAATAAAAAAATAGGTTAAGTATAATAAATGTATAATTGGTTAAGTTTTTTTAATTAATTATATTAATTGGTTAAGTAAAAAATTAATTATTTCATATTTAATTACTTATTTCGATTATTTATCTGAATAAAAATAATAGCACTTAGTTTGAGTTTTCGTTTAAGTATTTCTTTCATTAATTATCTTCATTTGGCACGTATATTTGATTATTTATATTCCTTTTAAATTATATTTCGTTAATTATCTTAGTGTGTATATTGTTTATTTAATATTTGATTGCTATATTTCGATTATTTATGTAAATGAAAATAATAATTATTCTATTTATTTTCTTTTAATACAAGTGAGGCAACGATATATATTAACTGACAATATGAAGAGATTACAGACACAACAACAACATAAATTAAAATAATAATATTTTGTTAATCAAATATTTTAAAAAATTATTACATTACAACACGAATCATACTGAAATAAACAACATTTACATTTCAATAAAATAATATACAATGCACTAAGGATCACAGTTATATTCATACAAGTCGCAAGCTAATTTATGCCTCCACATATCAATCTAAGACTGATTTATTGTCTCAACATTACGATCAATGCTCAAAAACTCTATGTACTTTATTGCAAATAAGCCACAGTCGCCCATGCAATCGAAGAAGAATATATTAGTTCGATAACATATAACTGAAAATTAAAAGGTAAAATTAAAAAGTTTTAAATCTTTACGATCTTTCTTGTTTTGCCATCGTCATGTTCCGTACAATGGCTAATCTGTCATTTACTCGAATCATCGCCTGATTAGCCATCATGGGCACGATCACAGCCATTGGCTCCAGAATGTGCTCTAGTAGACTTTGTGTCAGACAGCTGTGATCAGAGTCGTACACATACATAGTGGAATTTGCAAATACGATTTCCACTGAAAAACAGTGTGAGTTCGCGATCACTGGAATGTACATGTGTACAATCCGTCCACGGCTTTCCGCACCTCGACTGAAGCCCAATCACCCACTCTACCATGTACTCGGGTAGAACATATTCATTCCCTTTGCTTAGGAGCTCGTGATGCTCAATATCTACGATACGAACAAACTCAGAGCTCAGGATAACTCGATTAGGACTGTCATAAGATCTCAGGTATCTCTGAGCCCGATCGCGTAACAATTCCATAGCCAAGTCGATATGCTGGAACAAAAAAAAACACCAACAAAAAAGATAGAGACGTTTAAGTAAATGAACCAAGAACTTCTATAAATATAATAAATGAAAACTCAAAAAACTTATATCATCAGTGAGCCAAGCTGAGGTCGTCAGTACATCTTCGAACCACCTTTTAGCGTTGGGCACGGTCATACGGCACGGTCATAAGCCGATGGTATAACTATCTCTGAAAAATGAAAAAAAGTTACGAAAAATACAAAAAAATAGTAGCAAAATCATAAAATACTTACTCGGACTCAAGGGATTTGGACCAATCATCGAACGCCTTCTGTCTGATCGGGTCGACGTCGCGAAAAAGATTGGGGAACGTCCCATCCACAAACCCCCTTCTCTTCGCCTCGATCGTGTATGGGGAAATAATGTACTGTGACGGTAATCTCGATCTCTTACCGACCATCAACTCTGGCGCGTCATTAGCACGCTTCTTACCCTTCGGCACCTCCGTTGCCCCCTCCGACACAAATACTAATCGTCATCCGTCATCTCTGGCATCCTCTCGTCCTCCGCAACCCCCTCTACTACCACCTCTGTTGTCCCTTCCGCTACCTCCTCGGTCACCCCCTCCAGCACTCCTGTCTCTCTCTCCGGCACCCCTGTCCCTCCCTCCACCCCCTCCGTCATCCCGACCTCTTCCGGCACCTCCACCCCGCCCATCCCGGCATCATCCGACACCTCCGACCCGACCTCCACCCCCTCCCTCCCGGGCTCCGGCACCGAATCAAAAAACTCATCAATTCCTGCGGCCGTTGCCCACTAATCTCGAGGAACACCAGTCTCCCCAACACTCCCTCTGACAGAACCTCGGAAGCCTGCTACATCGCCCCGAAGTGCTGCAACCTCAGTATGAAGCTCTCCTAAATCTCGTCGCAGCACTCCAATCTCATCTCGCAGTACTCCTACCTCTGTCGTAATATCCCGTCGCAACACCCCCATCTCCTCTCGCAGTGCTACTACCTCTGTCGTAAATGCACGTCCCATCGTTCCCAGCTCCTCTCTAATAATATCAGTCATGCGTGCAAGGAAATCATCTGAATGACGGGTCTGACTGGGTGCAGGCGATCCACGTGGAAGGTGCGTGGGTGCAGGAGACGGAGATCTCCTCGGAGAATGTGATAATGGCGGTAGAAGTGATCTCATCGGTGGAGGTGAAGGAGATCTCCTACATGGAAGTGCTCGTCGTTCTACTAGATGACGCTCCTACACAGAGAAGACAATTAATATTAATAATCCACACATGAATATTATAAATCAGATTACATAATGATCTTAAATAAACGTACCCTATTTCTATCCAGAACGGACTCAAACACTAGATCGTTTTCAATAGGTCGAACATGCAATTCACGTACATACATTTGATCATCCTCTTCCATCGAAACAACCAACTCAGCATGAACTTCAAACTGGCATATCATATTTCAACATGTTAACGAGCATGTATCGACCCGAATTAATGTACATACAATATAAATTACAAATGTATGATACTCACCTGAGGATCGTCGAGGATAGCTGTCAAATCTTTAGCCGATGGCTTCTCATGTGCTCGCCAATGAAGCATTCGAAGGTAGTTAGTCTCCCTTCTGATCGCTCATTTGCTACCCAAAGTAGGGATAGCTTCATATGCCCACAACTGCAACAATTACCAAAATATATATATATATGATTTATACATTTAATAAAAAAGTTTAACACGCATTATGTTAAACTGAATATTTACCTGCAAAGCCATACAAAAGCTATATACATCATATTTGCGATCGCCCCTCTCCGATTTTGGCATAGTATGTACCCTCCTGAATACGTGGAGAGTATCGGAGTAACATCTTCAACCCAGTGGAAAGCTGTTGAAAGCATCGATATCATCAACAACATCCAATGAAAAAAGGTCAATCGATGTCCTACGATGTCGACACCTCAATATACTCTCCAGTATATACACCAATCCTAGTTTAAGCTTGTCTAACATGTGATCGCATCTCCTAAATATGTCCTCTAACTGTGGTGGTGTAATCGGCCCTTTACCTCCAAAATATAAATCTAATAACCTTTTATTTGGTATAATACGGGCTCTCGCTTCTTCTTCTCCTATACATCTCAAGCCTGTAATGAGGGCAAATTCAAGGATCGAGAATCTCGATACCTTCCTGTCTCCCATTGCAAAAAAGGCTGATCGTCATCGACTGGTTTAAGCAGCCGGAGTAATAACGAATCAATAATCTGTCCAGAGAACTGCACGTCCTTCAACGGATAGAAGGATCATAAAAATGACCGATGGAGTATGTCGATGTACTCCTCATCAAATCCCTCAATCACGGTCGCATAACTGAAAAGTTACAATACGTCGTAACTTTTCCCAAATGAGCTCTCAGATCATTGTCGATATAATATTCCATCCTACAAAAATAATACATGTTAAAACCATATACAAGAAAATTATAAATAAAATATCGTATCTTCAAAATTAACCAATCAGATTTCAATTAATAAAGCAATAAATAGATTCATCCAATCACATATTAAAACAGTTAAACAAAAAAAATTCTCACATATTTGATTATTTAATATTTCATTAAAAATTATATTTCGTTAATTATCTGAATGTATATATTACTCATTTCATATTTAATTATTCTATTTCGATTATTTATTTCAATAAAAATAATAATATTTAATTCAAATTTTCATTTCACTATTTCTTTAATTAATTATCTCAATTCGATAAGTCAGAAAATTATTATTCAATTCAATTTATTATTTAAATATTTTGTTAATTATGCATATTAATCATTTCATATTTAATGATTCTATTTCGATTATTTATTTCAATAAAAATAATAATATTTAATTCAAATTTTCATTTCACTATTTTTTAATTAATTATCTTAATTCGATAAGTAAAAAAATATTATTCTATTTAATTTATTCTTTAACTATTTCGTTAATTACGCATATTACTCATTTCATATTTAATTATTCTATTTCGATTATTTATTTCAATAAAAATAAAAAATTTAATTCGATTTTTCATTTCACTATTTCTTTAATTAATTATTTTAATTCGATAAGTAAAAAAATATTATTCTATTTCATTTATTATTTAAATATTTTGTTGATTACGTATATTACTCATTTCATATTTAATGATTCTATTTCGATTATTTATTTCAATAAAAATAATAATATTTAATTCGATTTGTCATTTAACCATTCATTTAACAATTTCTTTAATTAATTATCTTAATTGCTTAAGTAAGAAAATTATTATTCAATTTAATTTATTTTTTAAATATTTAGTTAATTATGTATATTATTCATTTCATATTTAATTATTCTATTTCGATTATTCATTTGAATAAAATTAATAATATTTTATTCGATTTTTCATTTTACCATTTCTTTAATTAATTATCTTAATTGCTTAAGTAAGAAAATTATTATTCAATTTCATTTATTCTTTAAATATTTCTTTAATTATGTATATTATTGATTTCATGTTTAATTACTCTATTTCGATTATTTATTTGAATTAAAATATATTAATATTTTCATTTAAGTATTTTTTTAATTAATTATATTAATTGTTTCCATAATTAATTATTTTAATTTTCTTAAAATGTATCTTATTTGTTTCATATATTTAATTACTAAACTTATTTAATTACTAAACATATATTTATTATTTATTTCGTATATTTAATTACTAAACATATATTTAAGTCAAAACAAAAAATTAAAATTCTATTTAATCTATTTTTAAATATTTTCGTTCTAATTCTTAACATATTATTTATTTCATATTTAATTATATTTTTTAACATAAAAATTAAAATAAATTAATGAAAAAGAAAAAATATATATATATATGAATGGTCAGGTCCGGACCCGGACTGGATGGTCCGTAACGGACCACCCAGGTCCATTAAGGACCAAAGAGGCGTCCAGCTCGCTGGAAAACTCCATTTCCAGCGAGTTCCGACTCTTTTTTCCAGTTTTTCAAACATTTCAACCTCAAATTTGATCATTTCTTCCATTTTAACCATAAAAAATTGAATTTAACTCATTCAAATCCTAAATATTCAAATTTACACATTTTCATAAAAATTATTTATAGAGAACATCTCTAACCTTCCAGAAAATGGCGTTTCTCCGGCTGATCGTGGTGTGTTCAGAGAGGTCGAAGTGGGACAGGTCCGGGTCATCGGTAGGCGTCGGATCTGGACTCCTTTTTTACTTTTTTTTTCTCCTCTTTTTTCTCTCTATTTCTCTTCTCTTGGTTTGCAAATGAGGGGGGTATTTTCGACCATAACAATTTTGTTTACATTTTTTTTTTATTACACAAATTTTGGTCAAAGGCCTTTGTGGAAAAGTGGGTGGGTGGGGAAGCCATTAGCCACCATTTCCTCATGGGGAGGGTCAGATGTTGAGCTCTGTTTTAACTTTCAAATCCAGTTCCATTTTTTGTCAAAATTTCATTCGACATTTTTTGTTTTTTTATCAACTTTTTATTACAAGGATGAAAGCGATTCGATCTGGATGATTTGTTTCATATTTTCAATTCAAATTATTTCAAGTAGTTTAAAATTGTTCACAGAGGAATTTTGAGTCAACAGATTATATGTTAGTATATTTCATAATAATAATTAGCTACTTTACTTTGTGAGTTCATGCTTCATTAAAAATTCATAATAAATAACATAAATAAAATACAATAACACGATAAAAAAATGAGAAAATCTAATCTAAACAGATTTCATGCATACGAATTTGATATCTTTGATTTTAAAATCGAAAATCCAATCATGGTATCCTTCATAGTTCATATTACTTCTGAAGCTATCCAAAATTGTATTCCTACAAAATGCTCGTAAATTTTAATTGCATTAGCTTGAGGTTTAACTATTCGTTGGAGCATAATAAATAGTAAATAACTAGAAACAATAAAATCGATGCACTATAGCCACATTCAAACCAATGATTTCGAGTCGATTTGGACTTCGGCGATTTTTTTATTCATTCCTAATTACTATAAATACCTAGCCTTCTTTTTGTTTCAGCTAAAAGAAGTAAACTAAATTTTGAGTCAAAATTAATAATTAATATCAATCTTACATTTCATTAAATCCATAGTTTTTCAAATTACAAATTACATCAATGTTTATCAAGATCTACATTTCATTAAATCCATAATTTTTCAAATTACAAATTACAGTTTATCAAGATCTACTAAAAATTTTATTTTTATCTAAATCAACAGAAATTTCACACCTAAAAGGTCGAGAGAGGGAGAGAGCGGGGGATTGGACCCCCTTGACCCGTAGTATTAATAGATCCAATCTCGGTCCAAGCCAATTTTTAAACGAGTCTAGTGGTAGATAGGCTGGTTTGAGCCAACCATCGAACTGACTTATTTTGATAACCCTAAAAAAAATATAAAAATAAAATAAAATTATAGAAGTTTATCAAAGAACCGTAATAAGGATGGCAATGGAATCTTTAAGAGACAGAGTGGAATAAAATATGTCTATTGAATTTAATAATAATATAATATAATTTAAATCAAATTTAGGATGAAATATTCTTCATCCTCACCTTAAATTCCTCGACGAAACAATATAGGGAAAGAGCAAAGTATTTTGCCATCCTCATATTATAAATATCCACCTCATTTGTTTAAAAGGTCATGTCCATGTCCATGTCCAAGCAGACTCATCTTTTGAAAGAATAAAAACCCAGGTATTAACTTATACCACATTTCAATTTTAAGAAAAAGATTTTAAAAGTTCAAAACCTATGTAGTAATTAATAAATATTATATATAAAAGAATCTATTATGTATGTCTCTCTCCAGTCTCTCTCTGAGTCACTAGCATTCACTCGTTGACATCCACCTACTACCATCATTTCTCACAATCACTGTCATCTTCTCTCACGGTTACTGGCATCCACTCGCTACCATCCCCTCTCATAGTCATTGGCATCCACCCCGATTCGAGATCCATGAGTACGACAACTTGTTTGGATTTTTAATTTAACAAAATATCGACAAGAATTGATGAATTATCTAATCAAACTTTAATTTGGAAAATCGACTAACGTCAATAGAGTGCAAATTTGATTATGATGTTTGATTTACCATCAAATTCAGTGTAAATTTGTGAGTTTTTGGCTGTGTGGATTAAAATACATGTAAAATGTTATATGTGATGTTGATCCAAGGGTATATGACAAGTTTTCTTGGATCCGTGACCTTTGGACATTGATCTATTATATGTGATATTGATCCAATAACATGTGACCAATTCTCTTAGATTTGTGATTAACAGACATTTATCGGTTACTTAAGCAAAATGACATGTGAAATTCTTGCATTTATATATGACCTTTGACCGTTGATATATGACCTGTGAACTGTAACGTGTGACCAATAAATTATAACGTATGACCTATGAACATAAATCAATGATTTGTGACCAACTCTATTTGATTTGTGACCTATTAACATTGATACTAGACTCATATAATATGACATGTGACTAATGAAATGTAACCCAGTGGAGTGTAACACGTGACCAGATCTATTTTATTCTTAAAATGTTTACATTTATTTGTGACCTATAACCACTGGATTGTGACATGTGGCCAGTTGTATTTGATATGTAACATATAGATATTTATCCGTGACCTATACACAATGACCTGTGACATTCAATCATGATCCATGACCTATACAATATGATCTTGACCGGTGGAGTGACTAGTGACTAGTTTTTTTTTATCCGTGATCTATATACAATTATTTTCAACCTATGCACAATAACCTGTGACCTATCATCACCATAGGCATCACTAACAAATATCAACATAACATTTGATATACACTCTATAAACATTTGACCATCGCCAATACTACGACAAAACGATTGCAAAAACACCTCAAAAATTACCATAAAATCACTGCGAGACCACCCCCAAGATGAGGTACTAAATCCAATTCACAAAATCATCCAACATCATAATCAATATCAGGTCATAAGATTATAGATTACCCAAATACCCAACAACGCAATCAGAATTCAATTCACAAAATCACCCAACCTGCTTGTGGTAGTGATATAAAAAATGGTGATGGAGATGGTGAGGGATAATTTTGTGGGAGAAGGCTAATTTTCTGGTATCGTCGTCGACTAGGATATTACGCAAGAGCCACCGCGAGTCCTGTATCGACAACCAAACTTGCAAAGTGGCGGGACTGTGAAAGGTTGCGATTGTTGTAGTAGCAGAACTTTGGCGACGGACGACGATCAACAGTGATAAGGTTGAGCCGTGAGGGAGAATGGGAGATGAGAAAGAGAGAGTGCAAAAGTAAGAGCGAGAGAGAGTAATTTTAATTTGAGGAAATTACTTGAAATGTCCACTTTCACATGTCCATTTGTAAAAATGTCCACTTCCACAAATCCTTGCCAAAATGTTCATTTTGGAATATTTTGGACCAAAATATCCCGGTGAACAATTTATGATTTCACACAAAATTACGAGCCCGAGCTGTCCCCGTTTGACATCCCTAGCGACGAACGACGATCAACAGCGATAAGGTTGAGCCATAAGGGAGAATGGGAGATGAGAAAGAGAGAGTGCGAAAGTAAGAGCGAGAGAGAGTAATTTTAATTTGAGGAAATTACTTGAAATGTCCACTATTTGTAAAAATGTCCACTTCCACAAATCCTTGCCAAAATGTTCATTTTGGAATATTTTGGACCAAAATATCCCTGTGAACAATTTATGATTTCACACAAAGACAAGAAATTGACATTTTTACAAAAATTTTATTGGCCAATAAATTTTTGACACATAACCTACCATATTTATTTCAAAAGGGCATATGTCAAATCACAATTAATACTATTTTTCTCATTGACACAAAACGTCGAGAATTATATTTCAAGTATAGAGAAATGTCATGTTCGGAATAAAATGTCATTGTAGATATTTAAAATATCGAGAACAATGTTTGAAATGTTGAGAATATTTAATATTATGATTTGACATGTGTACTTTTTAAAATATAAACGAAATTCAAATATCGAGAATGACATTTGAAATGTCGATCACTTCATTTTAATGTAGCTTCTCGTAGAAGCTACTTCTCAAAATTTGCAGCAAATTGAAAAAATAAATAAATTACTTTTTTTTATTAAAGGCATAATTGACAGTCTAGTGCTAAATTTAAAAAGTGGAAATTTTTAAATTGATACCCATGAAATTAGACATTTTTGAAAATACCCCTTTTAATTTTGATTAAATACCTGATTCATGGTTAAATGAACCTTACATCTTATTTTTGAATTACCATCTTTAAAAATAGGTTGGTGTGTAATTTCCACTTTTTTCATTTCAAAGTGCCGTGCAAGGCCAATTTTATATAAATAAACGCTAATAGGTCTTTTTGTTTTTTAAAAATTTAAGGGGAAAAAATTGACTTTAAACCGCTGCCTTTAATCTATTAAATGCTAATTTATTGTAGTAAGCTGCATCTTGAGCCACCAAGCCCCTATTCTTTGAAAAATAAAATAAAATTGGATGGCTCGGGCCACTAGGTGATCGTCCTTGTATATGAACATGCAATTTATGTTGCAAAACTTGAAAATTGAACAAAATTAAATGTCTAACTTAACAAATTTAAATAAAGTAAACATGTATCAAAATTATGGTCTACTACTAAAAGTAAAAATAACTTTAAAGGAAAAAAAAAAAAAAGAATCATCAACAATCTTCCTCTCACACTTACAATGGTGTATACTTCTTTTTCTTATGTTTTCCTTAGAAAAAGAAAATAAAAGGACCCTTTGGTTGTGACAACACAGTAGATTGACTTGAAGTGACACATTGCCATGAGAGCAGCTATTATAAAAGTCTTATCTCCAATTTAAAAGCAAAACGATCATTAGACAATATTCAAGGAAAAATCGATGAAAGCTCCCAACAAATTGAATTAATTATCTGCTGAAAGAAATTTTGATTTCATAAGCCAAAATATATACTCTAGAATTTAAAGTGAGATCCAAATTAGTAAAACAAGCAGAGTATGTATCTCATCGAAATATATTCAACATCTTAAAGAATACCATGAACCATCAAAAGCATAGCATTAGAAAACCCCACGAACAGTACTCAACAAGATAAGTTTAGCAGTTTATGGTACTAAAGAAATGCATTCACTAACCTCGTTGACAAGAATCATGGAAAAACTTGCAAAGAAAGCATCAAATACTCCAAGATCGGAGTCCAACTCGACACCAAGATTAATAGAATCATGTCATTCTCATCTATTGCAATACATGTCTTGATTTTGTCTACTTAAATCTGTTCAGCAAAATAAAATAAAAAAATCAGTAAATCCTTAGATATTGATTAACCATCAATCTTTTATATTCTTCGACGAAAGTCCCATTTTAATTTTACTCATAAACTACATTTATACAAAAAATATTTTTT